ATAAGCAGACAGAAAACCATCTCTATCTCTCTCTCTCTCTCTCTCTCTCTCTCTCTCTCTCTCTCTCTCTCTCTTTCCTCCCTCCCTCTCTGTAAATCTACTTTTCAAATAAAATAAATCTCAAACAAAAAGACTCATAGAAAGGAACAAGTTCAAACATGGCCAATAAAGTGCTTTCTAAGCAGCAACATACAACAGATTATTCTACCTTTTCAGAAACTCTCCAAACTCCTAATTGAAGCGCTTTGTGTGATAGGTCTCTAGGGTTTGCTGTGATAGTTCAGGATGACACGATTATACACATCATCAGCACATTTCTCTCATTACATATTTGAGATGTCTATCTATCTATCTATCTTTTTCAGCCACACAAAGTAGATTGGATAATGAGACCACAGAGCATAAAACTGCATGATACGTGGTTTTGGCTGTAGTCAAGTATACCAAGTAATAATGCTGCTAAGACTGTGTATCAACTGGAAACTTTAAAAGAGAAGTTCATGGGCACTGGTTTCTGTCCTGGCTGCTCTACTTCCCATCCATCTCCCTGTTTGTGGCCTGGGAAAGCAGCAGAGGTGCAGGGTCCCAAAGCCTGGGAGACACAGCATGGGAGACACAGAAGCTCCTGGCTTTGGATTGACTCTGCTCCAGCCGTTGTGACCACTTGGAAAGTGAATCAGTGGATGGAAGATCCTTCTCTTGGTTTCACCTCCTCTCTGTAAATTTGCTTTTCAAATAAAAATAAATATATCTTGAAAAAATGGAAAGGCTCGTGAGTTTATTATTCTGATATATCACAGCACCACATTCATAGCACAATGAATACTGGTCCAAAACCTGTGATCATATGTCATTGGGGAAAACACAAACTCACATGCAAGCATATTCTGTGATATGGTAGTAGAAATGTATCACAATGCAGGAATTTAAACTTATTATCGAGTATTTTTCAAAGTAAGAGCTACAAGCTGGCAAATATTCAAAAGGAAGTTCTTGCTAACACCTGTCATAATCAAAAGGGCTATCTCAACAATAGATAATTGTTTTATTATAATTTATTAAAGAGTTTCTAATCTTAGAAACCAACATTGGGGAAGGAAATCATTATAAAAAGGCCCTTGTGTTTCTTGACAGGCTTTCACAATACACATGGGTTACAGATACAAGACAAAGAAACTCCTTTATAAAAAGAAACACGAATACTTGGGAAATAAATTTCCTTATTAGGATATTGATAAAACAGAGGAAGTCACCATCAGAGGAAAATGCAGCCCTGCAATTTCAGGCTTAGAATATGAAACAGAATATTCACCAAATGCCAAGTTTTCAGCACACAGCATACACAATAATACCCTCTTTATTCACAATTTCTTGGTACCAGGGGTTCTAGTAACCTTTGTTTCTGTTTTCCTACAAAGTTGTGCCAGGTATAATTAGATCTGGACAAAACTATCTATGGCTAGTGTGTCCTCTGAAGTAGGGAAACTTAACACTAAGATTTAAAATGAATCCACATGCCCTTAAAGTAGACAGGAAAAGTTCTCTTTTTACCTCTAACTACCAAGTACTGCTGCCCTGTGAGCCAAGCTCAGAAATAAAACGAGGGAGGGGAAGACTGAAACAAAAAGTACACAGAGAAAATGAACTCTGAAACATGTACCTGTTACTATCAATAACATTATTAAACATTATTTTCAATAAAATCAGTGTTTAAAACATACTAATTTTGTCAGTTAAAACACAGTAAGAAAAGCATTCTTCATTTTATATCATCACAAGAAACACTCAGATTTTTAGATTATCAATGCTGTCTCTGCCATTGGTAAGCAGTACCAGGTGCCAACAGATGTCTTTGGCAGTGAAACATAACCAAGAATATGAGATATAAATCCATTCTTTTTATTGCAGGAGAACATAATGTAGAAACGAAGGATTTCTGATGTTTCACCTGCCAGAAAAAAAATGTCAATTATTCTGCCTGCTAATATTTTAGCATTTATTATTGTGAGGTTCCAGAATACTATAGGAAAACTATCAGATTCAGGAACACAGTGAAGATAATAAATTAGAATGCTTGTTCATAGTATGTAATGAAGAAGATAGTATAATGAACAAGAAGCCGACACACAAGTACCACCAAAAACCTTAAACAGTACCTACAGATTTGTGGCCATCCGCTTTTAAAGCAGAGAAAGCAGACAGATTTCCAAATAGATAAATCCTAACAGACATTTTAATATTAAAAGTAGCAGCTGCAACTATCTTTTTTATTTCAGTATTTTTAAAATTTATTTATCTTAAAGGCAGAGAAAGAGATATTTACAGATATCTTTTCAATCCACTGGTTCACTTCCCAGCAGCTAGAGCTGGGTCAGGCCAAAGCCATGAACCCTGAACTCAACCCAAGTCTCCGACAGGGAGATCCAACTACTTGAACTTGCTGTTTCTCAGGTGTGCATTGGCTGGAAGCTGGACTGGAAATGAACTGTGATACAAAACCAAGAATTTCAACATGGAATGCAAGTACCCCAAATAGTAACACAACCACTGTGCCAAATATCTGCCCTCACAAGAGTTTTAAGGCCCATGTCCCATCCTCTTCATAGAAGCTAATTATAAAGCTATTATACTTCTCTTAACAATTCTGCAAAGTAATAACATTAAGCCTGAAATTCAGGGCTGAGCACTTCCTATAAACATTATACTATCTCCTTAACAGAGTTGGCTAGAAACATTACTACCTACAAAGAGAATAAAAAAACCAGTCTTAGGAATCTCCATTGAGGCAGCGAGCCACATAAAATGAATGACAATTCATTCTTACCATGTGATCCATCCAAAGCACTTGAGCATGCTGTCTTACACTGTGACATAACTGAATAACTATCTTTTATTTCCAAATGTGCTGCAAACACAGATCAATTTGATCTCCAATAAACCCTTAAGTCTTTTAGAAGACAACAAAATTGTGATAACCTACAATCTGATATTTTCTTATGGTTACACAGTAAAATGGCTTTCACTGTTTAGCATGACAAAAGCTGGGAAACTTCTATAAGGGAACCAAAGCAGATGGGACACATATAAGATTAACTTATACAAAAAGCTGCACACTTTCCTTCATTTGCTACAAACCAGGGTCTTACACATCATTAAGAAGGGAGTAAGTAACAGCATCTGCCCTTCCCACTCGCCAGAGGTGTGTCTGAAACGAAACTCACAAAAGCACTGAAGCCCAAGGAGTAAAGCTGTAGGAGAGGCTCCAGGGGAAGGGATGATCTGTGACTGTACAGGACCACAGAAAGTGAATTCACCAACAGTACCAAACAGCCTAAGAGAAGACAAAGGACAAGTAGCAATTATGACCCGGACCATCTGGAAGAAGAAAGGTGGATCTGAATGGCAGTTTTAAGGTTTCTAGAAGCACTCAGAGAAGAAGCAAAGAAGAGGAGATAACCGACACCGCTGGATACACAGCTCAGAAACCAGAAAACCAGGCAGATATTAAGATCTTCTTCCCTCAATGCACAGAGAAAATGGATCCTATTTAATCAACAGCACATATTACATGTATATTCACTTTTATTATTAAACAATTACACAGAAACTCTCATTTCTTTATCTGAATCCCCCAGAATTATTGTATTAAACACACATGAAGAAGCAAGTCATGCAAAATTTCCACTAAGAAACAAATACTTCTTTTCTCAAGCTATCAGTCATAGTAAGCTGCAAAAAAACAACCAATCAGATGCTCTTCACATACGTAAATTTTACTGCTACAGAAATTCTCCTGGGCCACGTGGTCTTAAATTATTTTTCCAATAGTGGTAATACCTATACATTCATGTACAGTCTTTAGCAAATCAACCACAGGGGGAAAAAAAGCGCATCAACTGATTGGAATTAGATGGGCAATTCATACTTAAGCAGGCACCAATGAAGCCAAGAGCCTGTCTGAAAATACATAACCTTTATCTCATTAGCACTGAACTCTGGTTGTTAAAGATTCAAATGTTAATGTTAATTTGTATATTTTAAAAGGTGCTGTGAATAGGGAGAAAATTTATATAGTCTATGCAAAATTTTCTATTAATGGGAACCAGCTGCAAGAAAAAGAGACTGCTTTCAGTGTTTGAGTCTGCTGGAATACTAATGGGCTTCCTCTAGTCCAAGTTTCCATTCTGGAAGGAAGACCGTTTAAATCATTATTCTGAGTCCTTGGCACTTCTCAGAATTACCTTACTGTGTTACAGCTGAAGCTTTCTATCCATTAGATGTATGTGCAGTAAGTAGGTCTCTGAAGAGCCATTCCTTATACATGAAGTCATCTATCCTCCAAGGAAAATCAGTTCCTAGCTCTGTCTTACCTTTGCAATCAACAAGACCTATCCAACAATGTAACCCTGTGAATTTTAGATTTCACAGTCAATATCAAGGATATATGCTATTTACAAAACATCACTGCCACAAACTTACTCACTTTGTAAATAGCTTCCAAGTTTTGGTTAATCAATCTCACCCATTCAGTCCATAAATTAATTTAAAAATTATTTCCATGTAACCATCTTAATATTTTAGTACACCATACCACTTATCCCCAACATCAATAGTGATAAAAACAAAATACACATACATACACACAGAATATGATTTTGTGTTTTTCCTAATGTAGTACTGTCAGCAATTCCATTTTAGAACTTTTACCATTTTACTGTGTCTCTAAGGAAATTTGGGTTTATTCAAAATGAGTCAAATCATTTAATCAAGTTTTTAAAATTAGAAATAGATGAACACCAATTTCTCATATCAATACAACTAAAAAATCCTGGGATTAGGTGGAAGACAATAAAGCACCCATACAACTACTTGGGTTAAGTAAAATTTCTGTAAAAGATCTTAGACAAAATGGTTAAGAGTGTAGCATATACACATCAGATCATAACCAACTCAGAAGTCTTTATAAAACCAGCTTTAAAATGAAAAAGCAAGAAACAAACCTCAATTTTGTCTGTTTTGGCATCTCCCCAGTATATTTTGCCTTCATCATAATCCAAGGCTAAACCATTTGGCCAACCAAGAGAAGTGTTAACCAATACTACTCGGTCTGAACCATCCAGAGCTGCTCGCTCAATTTTTGGTATTTCTCCCCAGTCAGTCCAATACATGTACCTACAGAAGTATATGGAAAATAAGTTAAAGAAACATCATATAAAGAAACATAAAGTCAGATATATTATTACTATAAGCACTGAAAACAGAATGAGATTAAATGTTCTAGGAATGATAAAGAATTCTGAAACTAGTAATTCTTTCACTTGAAATTTTATTCCAATTAACATATACTAAAATTGACAGTCATCAGACAACTGTTTACTGCACATCAGTATGTACTTCGTTTAAGTATTTCATGTTATCTTAGTCAATGTTTCTATAGGCACCTACAGAAAACAGAAACATCAGATGGATTTACTAATAAAAGCTTTCTTACCCAACCACAGGATCTAACACAATAGCCCGGGGTTCCTCTAAGTCCTCTGAAATCAAGATCTTCCTCATGGTTCCATTTAGCCTTGTCACTTCTATCCGATCAGTGCCAGTGTCTGTCCAATAAAGATTTCTTGCAACCCAGTCAACAGCAATGCCATCAGGATGAGTTATTTGAGCAGTGACCACGAATTGACTACCAGATCCATCGATGAAAGAGCGGCGTATGGCCTTCACTTCATCATCAGTCCAGTAGATATAGCCTTCCACAGGATCATAATCTATGGCAATGGCATGGCGGATATCTTCTAACTGGAGGACAATGTCTGTAAAATCTGGTGTATCTAAGGAAATGCGCCTCAAGTCTGTCCTTCGGGCTAAAAGTAGCAATTCAGTGGCACCTAAAACAAAGCAAAATAAAAAGAAATAATTTGAAAGATACAAGCAAAATTTAATCTTTCAAAGAATGTAAACTTTTTCAGGAACTGATACATGACTCTGAAAGGGTATTAGTTATTTCAAGGGAGGAAATGCAAAGTAACATATAGAAATAAGACGAGTCCACTATGATGTCCAACTATAAGAGCTCAACTTCTCCAAAATCAAATTATGATACAGTTTCTGGTTTCATTCATCACTTAGCCCCTGGAATTCATGGTTTTTTAAAGGTGTAACAACTAATGACTACAACGCTAAACAGTGGAGTACTAAAGAAGGAAGGAAACGTAGGATATAGATCCTCTGTTCAAAAAATGTTTTAAAAGAATAAGAAATCTAGAGTAAGAACATTTGGGACTGATGAGAATGTTAGGGAACTGGATTCTGCCGATGGAGGCTTAACTTCAAAATGCACTAAAAAATAATTAAACCGAACCCTTGCCATCAATGGATTTTATAGTATGTAAATTATGTCTCAGGAAAGCTATCCAAACAAAGAAAAACAGTCACAAGGTTGCTGTGCGAATTAAAGAAGAAAAATAAGAAACAGATACTAAGTATGAAGCAGTCAAGAAATATCAACCAATACACTGTTATTAAAAATTATTTTTCAATTTTTATTCGGCTGAGTTCTAAATCAAATCTATTTATTCATGCTCTAATTTAATACGGATGCAATATGAACACAGCTGACAAGGAAGACAGTAAGCACAACTTTTTGTTTTCATTTTCCATAAACAACAAAAAAAAAGGATCTAACTATAAGAAATTAACAAAGGAAAAAAAATAGACAATTAAAAGAGCAAGAAAACATTCTCAGCCAACGAAATGAGTCCAAAAGAAAATACTTCAAGCACCAATCTGGAATTGTAGTTGAAAAACTTTCAACATCAGCTATTTGACTCTGAGACTAATTACAAATGAACTGTAGCGAGAAGAAAACACAGCCCACAGCGCTGTAGCAGGCAAGAAGTCGGAATCCATTTGAACAATCACTGCCCCTGCTAACTACCAAGAGAAACCAGCCAAAACTTTGCAAGCAAATAAGTCATAGAGCTGTTAATTTGAGCAAGGGGATCAAAACAGTGTAATTAGCTAAAGGACAGAACTTGCTAAATGTACACCTGAAATTCAAAATTGGTTAAATGTGTACATTTGTCCTGCCATAAGGGAGCAGACAGACCACTACTATTAAAATAAACCCTCTAGTTCTCAAAGTCAGACTACATTTTTAAGCAAAAAAAAAAAAAAAAAGCAACATTACAAAAACCTTTTGTTTTAAATTGAAACCAAATTATCGTTTGCCATGGAAACCGTCTGACAAGAGTCGGCCAGCTTCACCTTTGACTAGGAGGATAATTTATCAATGCCAACTCCTAACAAACAACCTGTACACAGCCTCCATTCCACAGCTCTGACTCCTTGACCCCCCTGCCAGGAACTCTCTTAACATTCTCTGAAACGAAGGCTCCTGCTTCTCAGGGTTCCATAAAGAAGCCACTGCTAACCACAACAATGTTCTTACCAGGCCTCGCTGGTTGCTACAGAACCAGATGAGGACCCACAGGGAAAGTCACAAGAGTGACTTCCTCATCACAGAGACAGAAAAGAACTGCTATTCCTCCCAACCAAAACATCCCTGAAAAATCCTACAGCAGTGCTCTTCTCACAACCTGCTTACAGGGAGCTAAGACAAACAAGCAGCAGCAAAGTGTGGTGGCTCAGTGGAAAAATAAGGACGGTATAATACTGTGCGAATTTTTTCTTCTACTGCTGAAATCACTTGTCATACAAAACCAACTTAAAAATTCTTCAACCATTTGAAAATACATCTATCCCATGATATTCTTTGTAGCTACAAGTTTAATAAACATTTTCCCTTCCACACAGGCTCTTTATTTGCAATTGTTACCTTACTTAAAAGGCAGAAAAATAGAGCAAGCGAGCAACAGACTTCACTCCCCAGATGGCCACAGCGACAAGAACAGAGCCAGAATGAAGCCAGGAGTTTCATCCTGGTCTCCCATGCAGGTGGCAGGGGCCCAAGCATTTGGGGTCATCTTCCTTTGCTTTCTCCAGGACATTAGTAAGGGTCTGTATCACAAGTACTACAGTCAGTGGGGACATAGACCCACATGGGATGCTGGTGCTGCAGGTGGTGTCTTACTCCACCATGCCACATTACTAGGCCCTAAACAGGCATTCTTTATGAGAGGTAATATTCATTTTCATAGGAATCAATTGTGACATCAATAAATGACTATGAAATCAATGGAGAAAAGATACGGCAGCTAAGCATTTTTTCTAAGCAGAATATGCCAAAGTAATAAATCATTTAGAATTTCAATTGTAAAAAAAAATATATATATATATATATTGATACGATATCGGTCTTACCATCTTTGCAGGTTTTTCCATTCTCCAGGAGTTTGACCCCAGTTGGACAAGCACACTGATAGAAAGGCTTGACTGGAGACATCAAACACAAATGGGAACAACCACCATTATCAATGCCACATGGGTTAGTAGCTGCCAAATACAAAGCACATTGATTAATACCAACAATTATACCTCCCTTACCTCCCTTACTCTGAATAAACAAAGGTTAACAACCATAACACAAGCAAATGTGATAAACCAAAATTATTAACAGTTTCATCCAAATGCTTCATTACAAACCCATCTGCAAGGAAGGGAATTGATCAGTGAGAATTTACTTAGTACTCTGTAACCAAAGAGGAACAAGTAAGAGTCAAGTAGGTGATTCTTGCTCTAAAAGTGCTGATAATTTAGCCAGCAAACCAAAATTAACAAACAATAAAACCAGAAAATACAAAACAATGAAACTAAACACTGTCATGCACAGCACCAACTATAAATACCAATGGGGGAGGAGGGATCACTGCAGTCTAAGAAAGGCTTCGTGGAAGCTGCAGATGCTGACAGCAGCCCTGATGACTAACAACAACAAAGAGGACACATCAAGCATGGCAAGGCCTTATGCTGTACGCACACTGGGTCACATGATGCAGTGAACAGAAGTGCAAGTGAGGGGTTCTCTGCTGAACATGCAACTGAAGCTCAAGGACTGCAGAGTGGCAACAGGATGTAGCGCAGGGCACCGACAGCCAAGGGAAGGACTGAGAATGCTGATAATACACGCTTTGGAAAGATTCACATAGAAAGGATAAACAGAATTGACCAAAAAAGAGAAGTGAAGAGTAGAAAAAACAAATCAATGAATATATTGGTAGGAACATTGCAAAAGGGATGCAATCAAAACTCACACACACACACAAATTAATGTAAAATAGAAACTAACAATATGAAAAATGAAGGGAATCATGTCAAAGGTAAGTGCAAAATCTTGAACTAGTAAAGTACAATCAACAGTGCCATAGAAAGAAAGAAAGAAAGAAAGAAAGAAAGAAAGAAAGAAAGAAAGAAAGAAAGAAAGAAAGAAAGAAAGAAAGAAAGAAAGAGAAAGAAAGAAAGAAAGAAAGAAAGAAAAATTAATTTTTCCTAAGGGCTAAACCCATGAGGGACAAACATTTTTTTCTTCCAAAAGAGTAACACACACATAGAAACCATTTTTACGGGCTAAGATCATCAGACTGCAGTATAACATTTAATATTTGATTATCTCCTCCAAACTGGAAAGAACTGAGACAAAGGAAAACACAATGCAATGCCTTGTCATTCTTGGCTATGGAACACAATCTGAAATATATTCGAACACATGCCAGGCATTTATTTACATACAAGTGCCAAACACTTCACATTCTCATATTCCTTTTAAATCTAATCCCCATCCTATTTTACAACAACTGGTTGTCTGCAGTCACAGTCCAAATTATTGTAAAAGTTGACCAGAAACAGAAACAAAACTAAGGGGGTAAAAAAAGAGGTGGGACAGCCACATAAAGGCTTCAACAGTTACTTTATTCAGCAACTAAGGTATTTAAACTCACCAGCTAGACTAAGGTGCTTCTATTAAAAAAAAATGTTTCATAAACATATAAAAACACTCTGAAAAAGAATATGAACAAGAACGTACTTTTGTATAAGCTTAGCATATAAGATATCTTAATTTTTAATGTATTCCTTTCCTCTTCACCTCCTTAACTCCTTGCCTTGTAAAAGGGCTGAAGTACTCTGTATTGACAGTCATCAGCTACAAAGGCCTTCGTCCCAGGCCTAACCTAAATTCTATTTTGATGCCTTTATTCCTTTCTATTCTGCCCCATCACCTTTGACTGTATCCTCCCTCTGCCTGACCCTCACTAAAGCCAGACACTAGAGTGCTACACAGCTGTTCCTACTTGCAATATAAACATCAAGATCACTTACCATTTGGCTGTCGCTTTTGGCTGAAGGCGTGTATATCCATGGGAGAGAAGATGTTAGAATGGATCTCACGCAGACCCTCGCCAGTGTGCTTGTTGCAAGCCAAGATGGAGTGTGTATTCCAGTCAGTCCAGTACAATGTGTCCTCAAATAACGTCAAGGCAAAAGGATGTGGAAGAGAACCTTTAACTACTGCCTGCCTGTTTAGGATTAAAAAAAAAAAATTCAAACTTCTAAATTTACATCTTTCATCAGACATCTCTTTGATTTAAAAAATCTCAGTCTTCATTAACAAACGCAAATACTTAGTAACACAAATTTTAGATCAAATATACTAATAAGATAACCCACATGATATTTCAAATATGTTTTCCAGATGAACATAAACCCTACCTTGCCTTCAAGATGATCCCTAACTTGCAGGAGACCCAAGTTCACTACAACCACCCTGACAGAAAAGAAGCTCAAGTGTTCCACTCCTCAGCCACAACCTCCAGACACACTTCCACCACCCTCTCACATAGGTTGTGTCACCAGACAGAATCTGCAAACAGGAAAATCTCGAGGCTACAGCTGGTACTGGGAAGTAAACACATTAGCAAAAAGTTTACCCTTCTGGACAGAGAATGTGAATCTGTTTGGTCCATCATTTCTTCTGGCTTTAAAAACAGACAGAAAACACACCTGAGGCTAAAAAAGCATGGGTGTATGGAGAGCGCTCCCTGCAGGCTCCAGTTCCACACAGCAAATGAAGGTCTCAGCTGGCCTGCTGCTGTGTTGTTTCTAACCTCCACATTCCCACAGCCAAAAGAAAATCCTGTCACTGGCAGAAGTTCATGAGGCAAAGCAGACTCAAATTTCCACTAGCAATACATATTATATACAAGGCAAATTAGAAAACCTGATTGTTAACTAGGGGCACAGAACTCTGCAGGGTGTCACAAAAATTTATGTAATCGGTGAATGGCCTAGAATGAACAAATGATGCATATTTTGAGTCAAAACACTATTTTGAAAACAATTTCAAGTTTTCATAAATAGTCCCAATGGCTTGATGGGAGGGGAAAAGGGAAGAGAGGACGAGGGGAAAACAGAAGCTACTAAGAAGTACAGTGTCAGGCCAGGCGTGATAGTCCTGAGGCTAAAGTTCTTTTCTTGAACATACTAGGATCCCATATGGTCGCTGGTTCTAATCTCAGTGGCCTCACTTCCCATCCAGCTCCCTGCGTGTAGCCTGGGAAAGCAGTCAAGGACGGCCTAAAGCCTTGGGACCCTGCACCTGCATGGGACACCCACAAGAAGCTCCTGGCTTCGGACTGGCTTAGCTCTTGCCATTGTGGCCACTTGGGGAGTAGACTATCAGACTGAAGATCCTCCTCTTGGTCTCTCCTCCTCTCTTGTATATCTGCTTTCCAATAAAAATAAAATAAATCTTATTTTAAAAAAGTACAGTGTCACACATATTAAGGAAGCAGTTCCACACCTTACATAAGTTACTGGGACATCTAATATTTCTCTCTAGTGAATTAAACTCAGGGAAGGAGAAATTGGGCATAGTTAAGTAAAAGCTACATCTACAATGTCAATATCCCATATGGATGCCACCAGTGTCCCAGCTGGTCCCTACTGATGGCCTTGGAAAAGCAGAGAAAGCTAGCCCAAGGGCTCAGGCCCCTGCTACCTTCTGGCTTCAGCTTGGCCCAGCACTGGCCACTGCAGCTATGTGGGGAGTGAACCAGAGGATGGAATATCTCTATCTTTGTAATTGATGTAATTAAGTAACTCCTTTAAAAATTTTTTATTCAAGAACAGCATGATAATTTTCATCTAAACAGAATTAGCATGTCATTGTGCATGAACTTAACCCTGTGTAGTAAATGAAGCCAGATTTTTTTTAAAAGATTTATTTATTTTTATTTTAAAAGCACTTTTATAGAATGGCAGGAGAGGCAGAGAGAGAGCTCTGTTGGTTCACTTCCCAACTAGTTGCAACAGCAGGAGCTGTGCCAATCTGAAGCCAGGAGCCAGGAGCTTCATCAATGTCTCCCATATGGGTGCAGGGGCCCAAGCCTTTGGGCCCTCCTCTACTGCTTTCCCAAGCCACAGGCAGGGAGCTGGGTGGGAAGTGGAGCAGCGGGGACATAAACCGACACCAAATGGGACCCCAATGCTTAAAGAGGGAAGATTAGCCAATTGAGCCATCACAGCAGACCTAGGGCCAGAATTAAAAAAAAAAAAAAAAAAAAAGAAAGAAAGAAACACAGGACAAGCTTGACTAGGGTTATCAAACTTTGCACTGTGGAATCTCCTACGTACACTGCAAGCCCAGACTACCACATCTCCTATCCTCTTTTTAATTTTCTTTCTTCTCCTATTACTTCCCCTCTCCCATTCCCAAAAAGAACTTCTACAATATGTACTTCAAAATGCTTTCTTTCAGTTTTAAAATAACAAGTTTTATGAAGCTTACTAAAGTGACTTATTTACAGTAGTGCCATGAACATTTCAGTTCAATTTTTAATATGCCTATATATTTCACATTAGAGTTTTTAAAAATTCATTATGTTAAAAGAGCTCTGAGAAGCTGCTAAAGGAGGTAACATAAGTGAAAAATAAAGAACGGAAAAACTAAGTTGCTTCGTATGTCATCATCATCCTAAAGAACTACAACATAACCAGACATCTGAAAAAGTTTTGGAGAAAAACAAGTGAACACCTTTTTAGGACCTTTAAACAACAAAGATCTACACTGCAGCACAAAGTCCTGCTGCTCTACTTTCCATGTAGCTCTCTGCTAACCGGCCTGGGGAAGCAGCAGATAGCCCAAGTGCCCAGGGCCTTGTACCCACATGGGACACCTGAAGAAGCGCGGGGGTCATGCTGTCGGCCCGGCCACTGTGAGCATTTGAGGAGTGAATCAGTTGATAAAATACCTCTGTCTTTTAACTGCCTCTCAAATAAAAATAAAACTAATAGACGTTCCAATGAATATGAGTTGTTTTAAAATTTCACTCTAATGAGCTAAACACAGGAATATAAACAGATGGGAAAAGCAAAACCCTTCCAAAAGGCTATATTCATTTTATGTACTGATTAAAAGCAGAGAATTAGGACTCAGAGCTGCGTTCCTTATAATGATGTAAATAGGATTTTCAATTTTTCTTTTCTTTGAAGTATTCAGTGGCAACCTGTAGCTATAGGTATAAAAACAGATGACAGAATTGTGACTAATGTTGCTGGGGATGAAAAGGGAAGGAAAAATGTCTAGAATGGGGAACAAGGGTATTTTGTGTTCAGGTAAGAAACATGTTATAAAAGAAGTATCACAAATGCTTTTTAACACTGAATACCTGGTAAGGCTGAGTACTACTACTTATATCATTTCTACAAGTTTTCCTTCCCTCATCCTTAAATAGAAGAAAACAATGATCTTCCATTCACTGGCTCACTTCCCATAAGATCATGACAACCACAGCAGTGCCAGGATAAGCCAAGAACCTAGAATTCAGTCGAAGTCTCCCAATTGTGTGGCAGAAACTAAACCACTTGAGTCATCATCTGCTAACTCCCGGGACGTGCATTCACAGGAAGCTGGATGGGAAATGGAGTGGCTGGGACTCAAGTCAGGCATTTAGATTCAGATATGCAGGCATTCTACTAGTGACCCAAATGCACTGAACCAAACGCCTACTTATTTCTTAATATTCAGTCTGTCATCAACACACAAAGACACAATTAGAAACAGAGGAAAATAAAAACAAATATAGTCAAATCTGAACAAAACTGATTAAAAATCAGCAGCCTAAAGGACAGAAAACTGGAAAGAAAATTATCAAGGTCACAGATTTGACCAAACTTATCAACTACGCTAACCTAAAATGTACAGAATAATCTATCCAACGAGAATGTACATTTTTTTCCAACTACATGTACAACTCTGTCCAGAAGAGACCACATGCTGGGTTACAGAATTAACTTAAAAAAATGGAAATCACAAGATGTATTTTCTGACCATGATGGAATTAATTAACAAATCAATAGCAGATGAAAATTTGGGAAATCAATTTTTTTCTAAATCCCAGATTTTTACCATTCTTTCCCAATAAGTAAGTAATAAGATGAAAGAAGAAATCACAAGAAATTTTTAAAAATATTTTGAGCTAAAAGAAAAAATGGATGGGTTGTAAGGCAACATAGCAATTACAGACACTTATAGAATGCAAATGCCTATGTTTCTAAAAACAGGTTAGTTCTCAACCTTTGAACTTTTCAAATTTTGAAATCTCAAATCAACGTCCTTTCAAATTGCTAAGCTTGTTTGCATTTAATTTTTTGAAAGGCAGAGAGCAAGAGTGAGCAAAAACTCGGCCAGGCTGAAGCCAGGAGCAAGTGGTAGAGGCCCAAGCACTTGAGCGCTCACCTGCTGCTTCCCAGGGTGAAGGGAGCTGCCTGGAGCAGAAGCAGAAAGCCCTATCTGCAATGCAATGTCCCAAAGTGATGGTCTAACCCACTGCACTAGAACAAGAATAAATGAGATTTAAACAACAACAACCAAAACAACAACAAAATCACCGGGGGATGGGGGTGAAAATCAATGAAATATAAAACAAATAATGTAAGGGAGAGGGGAATTGGTTAAGACCAAAAACGGATACTTTGAAAAGATTTTTTAACTTGCCCTAAAGAAGATAGAGTTAAAAAGAAAAACTAGGAAAAGCATAAACTACGAAAACATGAGTGAAATTATGAGGAAAAGAGACAGTACCATCAACTTTACAGAAACTTCAAAGAATTACAATAAATATAACAAAAACCCTTATGTCAGCAAATCAAGTAACAGATCAGAAACGGAAATATTACAAGAAAATAATATCCAACACTGGCTCAAAAGGAAATAAAAACCTGGACAGGCCCCAAAACAAAGAAATTAAATTTGCAATTAAAAATCTCCCAAATCAGACATCTCCACCTCCAAATGGCTTTGTGGTGCATCCTGCCAAATATTTCCATGAGAAGTAGTATCTGTCACATACTTTTCCAGAAAATAGAAAAGCAAGCACTTCACAGCAAAACCTATGAGGCTATCACACTAATACCACAGCCAAACAAAGATGTTATAAATACATCAATCTCTCTTATGAACAGGTGTAAAAACTCCACCAGTGTTAGCAAAGAGAATCTCACAACATTTAAAAAGAACTATTAACAAAAATGAAGTAGAATTTATCTCCTAAATGTAAGACTGAAGTGCATAAGTAAACACCAATTAATGGAAGTAACTGCATCCATAAAAGAAAATCACATGATCATTCGCAAATATTAAGAAAAAGCACTCAGCAGAATCCAATAATCATTCATGGTTACAAGCTCCATTATTCTTACGTGAGGAAATAATTTCCACTTGTGGCACTGAATAGAAGAAGAAACTAAAACTAATTCATTATTAAATGTTAACTGTATTTCTTCAATTATCTATTCTTTTATGAAAGACTTGAATTTCTGCCACTATTTCTTACACTTGAACCATGACAAGGTTGATTGAACAGGCTAAAGGGGTAACAACAGGCACATTAGCAGGGAGATGGATGGAAAGTCAAGCAGTCAGGACACGAACATCACCCACACTGAATGCTGGTATTACAGGCAAGAGCTTAACAAGCTATGTCATTATACCAGGCCCTCTTCCCAGGTCTTTAGTGATGGAAGAATAGGACAGTAACTTCCAGAAGCTACTGCAACTGTGATGCTAGTCTTCAAAATTTTCAGACCTGAAGACATCATGCCACACATTAATCAGAAAGAAAAAAAAAAACTGGTAAAGGCTGGACACAAAAATTAAAAGCTTAATAAAAAGGTATCCCTTAAGGGAACACGTGAGGACGGGATAACAGCCTCTCTTTGGAGTGTTGCTAGAATACACTGACCCAACCCTCCCACCTTATCCACCATCCCTCCATCTTCCCTCACCAAATCATACAATGCTCCTGGTTTGCCTGTTAAAAATAAAAGCCTTGGGACTAGTGTTGCAGAGCAGCCGATTAAGCCACCACTGCAATGCCAGCATCCCATATGAGTACCAGTTCAAGTCTCAGCTGCTCTACTCCTGATCTAGTTCCTTCAATGCTCCTGGGAAGGGGGTGCACAATGGCCCAGGTGCTTGGGCCCACACCCAGATGCAGTTCAAGCCACTGCGGAAGTTAACCAGTAGACGGAGATCCCCTCTCCTGATTCCTTCCATGTCTTTAAAAAAATATAAAAATCTTGAACACAATGACTTGGAACAACAACTAAAACTCCACTTGGGACATTCACCTCCCTTACCCAAATGACTCGCTTCAGCTCCAGTGCAACTCCAAGTTCCTGTTCACACAGAATATGAGAAGCAGCGGTGATGGTTTAAGTAACTGACTCCAGCGACCACATGGGAGAATCAGACTAAGCTCCTGGCTCCCTGCTTTGGCCTGATCCAGTCGCAGAGACTGGATGATCTCTGACTGACTGACCCTGTTTTTGTGTGTCTCTCTGTAGTTTATAAAAACAAAAAGCTCTTGTGTTTTAAAAGACACTTTCCAGAAAATCAAAAAGCACAAGCACAGATCAAAATGGTATTCCCAAATCATACGTCCAGTGAAGAACTTCCATCTAGAAAACACTTTAAACTCTCAGAATTCACAAGACAAATCAACCAATTTTTAAATAGAAAAAAGTCTGAAAAGTGTCTTACATATCTGGTTGGTTGCCAGGTAAGAATGGCTGAGCTGCCCTTACTTAGGATCATTAGGGACAGGACAAACGCCAAGTAAACAAGTATTAACAGGGAAGTCTAAAGGCCTGTAAATCATTTCAGAAAAATTTATGGGCCCGGCGTGGTGGCCTAGCAGCTAAAATCCTTGCCTTGAATGCACCAGGGTCCCATATGGGCACCAGTTCTAATCCTGGCAGCTCCACTACCCATCCAGCTTGTGGCCTGGGAAAGCAGCGGAGGATGGCCCAAAGCCTTGGGATCCTGCACCCACGTGGGAGACCCAGAAGAGCTCCAGGCTCCTGTCTTTGGATAGGTACAGCACCAGCCATGGCGGTCACTTGGGGAGTGAATCATCAGATGGAAGATCTTCCTCTGTCTCTCCTCCTTTCTGGCTTTGCAATAAAAACAATAAATCTTTAAAAAATAATGATAAATGTATTACTTAGATTTTTTTCATAGGTACCTATGCGTACAGGAGCTCTTCAGAAAGTTAATGGAAAATAATGTAAAAGTTGTTTTCTTTGGCACAAAAAGTTTGCAACCTATGCACAGTTTCAATTTTCTGAAGACACCCCATGTGCTCTAATTTCAAATTTAATGCATCACGGGGCCAGTGTTGTCGTATAGCAGGTTTGGCTCACGTGGCATCCTAAGTGAGTACCACTTCAAGTCGCAGCTGGATCACCTTTTTTTTTTCTTTTTAAAGATTTATTTTCAGTGGAAAAAACAGAAAGATTTTCTGTCCGCTGGTTCACTCCCCAAGTAGCCAAGGGCTTCTTCTGGGTACCCCAGGCAGGTGTAGGACCCCAAGGCTTTAGGCTGTCCTCTTCTGCTTTCCCAGGCCACAAGCAGGGAACTGGGAGGAAGGTGGTGGAGCAGCTAGGTAATAAATTAGTGCCCAGATTCTGGCATATGCAAGGAAATGATTTAGCCACTGATCCAGACCTACTCCACCTTTTGACCCAGCTTCTTGTTAATGCATCTGGGAAAGCAGCAAAGGATGACCCAAGTGTTTGAACTCCATGTGGGAGGCCGGGAAAAATTCCTGGCTCTTGACTCAGCCTGATTTAGCCCTGGCCACTGTGAGAATGAATCAGCTGATAAGGAAGATCACTTTGTCTCTCTCAGTAATTCTGCCCTTTAAATAAACCTTATTTTTTAATAAGTAAATGTAACTTCTTATTCCATTTCCACACTTTTTAAAGCACCATCAAACTTTCACTTTTTCAGTTAAAACTAAAATTCTAAAAAGTGTGTGTTTCTAGTCTTTTATTAGATATTAATCTTGGTTGCATATATTTTTACATATAAATATATAGAAACACAGGAAAGTCTCAAATTATCAAGAAATGGAGAAACTGCTTTTTGCTTTTACAATGGTTACAGTTCAAAAGACAATCAATAGTATTCAGATTAATATTTAATAAAACTGATTGGCACTCAGTCATAGCCTTGAGGTCAGAAGGGATAACTGAGTCAGAATATGAAATGATGAAGAACTCTGCAATAAATACAAACAGCATTTATCAACCCAAGCCACTGAGCATCTTCAATAACACTCATAGCAGCTCCCCAAAGTCTTTGTGCACCTTAACAATGCTCCCTCTGGCCAAAGAAAAATGGGTACCAATTGTGAAAATTCCCGTCAGTTTTTTATCTGGGAATATTATTTAAGACTGGCTGGCTGCCTAGAAAGGTAGAATGAGAGACACAGAGAATTGCTCTTCCATCTATTGGTTCACTCCCCAAATGGCTGCACCAGCCAGGCCTGGCTGGGCCAGACCAAAGTCAGGACTGAGAACCATATCCTGAACTCCCACGTGACGGACAGGGACACAAGCACTTGGGCTTTTCTTCCACTGCCTTTCTCTGCATTAGCAGGGAGCTGATTTGAAGAGAAACAGTCAGGACTTGTGCCAGCGACTAGCAACTTAACCAAATATATCCAATACCAGCCCTTGCAGGAATATCCTAATTTTCCCCTCACTTTCAAAGGTTTCCTGTAGACAGAATTCTTGATACATACCTTCCCTCCTTCCTTCATTTATTTATTTATGCTGTTGTTATTGTTGTTATATTTTTATTTTTAATTTTATGGTACAATTTCATAGAGACTGGTATTCCACCCGCCTCTAAACATCACCCCCCAACTGATTCTCTCCATGTTGCTGTAATAACATAGTCCTTCATAAGAAGTTATGATTCCATCATTCTGTTATTTAGGTGTGCCCGATATTGCTGCTACAGACAACGTCAGACAGTTCAGCATCCCACTGTCTAGATATGACCAAGGATTTCATTGGGAGGCCATCTTTGATTTGGAAACATGGATGCATGTTGCATTGTATCCCCACATCTGGATATGGTAGTCTCTATTACTCCATCACTATACATTCCTTTAAATGAGAAGCCACGAAATAAAATCACCAGCCAGTATGAACTAGAACAACAACAACAAAATTACAGCACCATGGAATCAAAAAACACACCACTGAATAACCAATGCATGGATGACAAAAGGAAAACACAAAACTCTCCTGGGTAAAATGATGCCACCCTGTAATCCAATGTAATCCAATCCTGTAAGCCAATGATAAACTTGACAAGAGAAAAGAAGGTATTTGGAAGAAATGATTTAAAACATCTGTTCATTCACTTTTACTTACTTTATTTCCCCCCCGCCCCATTCTTTTCTTCTAACACTTTGCACGTTATCAGTCCACTACATTTACCCTCTATAGTTTGACAACAAATCTGTTCATAACCTAAATGATGCCTCAATTACATATGATGAATCATTTCTCTCTTACATTTTCTGACTAAATACCACCAAATAACTAAGTTAGTTCGAGAAAAGGAAGGAGCAAATACAGTCCATAAGTTCTCAATTATACATACATGGATGAGAGATTAATTTAAAAAAAAAAAAGTTAAGTCTCTTCATCCTCTTTGAAGACCAAAAATACACAAAGTTTTAAGAAAACTAACTTTGCTTAATGTAACAAGCCATCACAGTCTTCTTACAGTTAAGAAAGAGTTTTAAGGCATTCTTACCGATTTGTTCCATCCAGATTTGATTTGTGGATGAAATTAAGCTTTGCATCTGCCCAATAAAGTTTTCGTTCTTCATAATCCAAAGTCAATCCATTTGGCCAGTAAATTTCAGTGTTTACTATAACAAAGCGATTTGAACCATCCATTCCAGCACGTTCTATCTTTGGCACCTCTCCCCAGTCTGTCCAGTACATGAACCTAGAAATTATAAAAAGAAAGCCACAAAATAAGAACAAAATCAGAAATGTCACAATTATCACTATTAGTTTTTTAAAAAAACAAAACCCCCCTAAAAAATGTGAAGCTTTAAGGATATCAAAACCACAGGACCAAAGTGTGCTAGGAGGAAAATAAACTTAAGCATCTCATCATGTGTGCCTTTTCACATACTACTCATTAAGAACAAGCTAGAAAATGACTATCCTAGAAAAAATAAAGTTGGACAATCCTTAACCAAACCATCTAAGTTAGCCTTGCCAATAAAGGAATAAATTTGTCATTTTATACCTCAGTGTGATACGCTGAAAAGGATACACCATCTTTTACAGTTTTTCTTGTATAACATTTCTGCCAAAAACACAAGGGAAACAACCAAAGAAACTCAAATTGAGGGACATTTGCAAACAACTATCTTTGACAACAGCAATGTTGGTCCTTGACGTCAAAAGAAGGATGCAGAACCAATGTAAACTGGAGGAGAATAAAATGTAAAGTAACTACTTGATCATGAACTGACATGGCAGTGAAAACGATAAAGACAACGAGCAGGGACAAAATTCATGGAACACCAAATTACATAATAACACTATATTAATTATAAACATCTTAATTATGCCATGGCTAGACTACGAATGAATTTACTAAACTACACCTGCTTTTACCTGTAATTTGAGTTTTGAAATTTGTTTCACAATAGGATAGTGTCATTACAGAAGTAAAAAAGAAACTTTTTCCATGATACAATAAGTAAACTTTGAATGTGTTACATGCCATTAAAATTATATATTTTAAAAGTTAATGTTTCTATGAACAACATATGAGGTAGTCAATGTGTTGAAGCTCAGTTGCAATTCACAAATAACTTGAGTAATTGGTCTAATGGTGATACTGGAAGGATCTCATGTTCATATACTAATATTTCCACTGTTTCATATGAACTGCTTACTCAAAGAAGCAGTGGAAAACTATAAGGTGGAAAATAAAGGCCCAGCATGGAAGTCTTAATGGCTAAAGTCCTTACCTTGAACACGCTGGGATCCCATGTGGGCACTGGTTCTAATCCCAGCAGCCCCACTTCCCATTCAACTCCCTGCTTGCAGCCTGGGAAAGCAGTCAAGGATGGCCCAAAGCCTTGGGACCCTGCGCCCACGTGGGAGACCCGCAAAAAGCTCCTGGCTCCTGTCTTCGGACAGCACAGCTCCAGCTATTGCAGCCATTGGGGAGTGAATCACTGGATGGTAGATCTTCCTCTCTGACTCTCCCCCTTTCTGTATATCTGACTTTCCAATAAAAATAAATAAATAAATTTTTACAAAAAATCGTTCATTTTAAAAAGGGTAGAAAGTAAGTTTAAGTCTGCCTTCTGGATACAAAGTACTATTGTAATGGCCTTATACGGATCATTTCACTCGAGTCTTCTAGCAACCTTATGAAATGGCCATCCCATTTCAGATGATAAAATTCAGCCAAATAATCTCATTAAAAGTTACAAGCTTACATAATGCATACTTACATGAAGAACAGAAAATCAAACCTACATCTTTGTGATTCTAAAGTCTACTTCCAAGTCAGAGCTCCCAATGTGAGGATTATGATTAGATACGTCCAGAAGGAGAAGGGGATGATTAAAGTCATATAAAACTATAATACAGCAAGGGATGTTGAGCCCTGTGAGAATATTTGGTTTTTATTCTAGAACAACAAGAAGGCTCTTGAAGACTTTTTAAACTTTTAAAGTGACAGACTTGTATTCTGGAATAGCTAGAAAAATTAGCTACAGTGTATAGAAATGTGTGCCAAAGGCAAAAACAATTCGAAGACCATGGCTAGCAAACTGGCTCTTCGAAGTGCAGAATAATCTGCTTTCTAAATGTACTGATAAGCAGGGCAAAATCATTTTAAAAAAATAGTCTGAAAATTGATGAAAAGCATACAGCAAATGAGCATTTAGACATGAAAATTCTACAATCAAGTAAGAACTCCGGAATTTTACCTAGGTGTTACTTGCATCCATGCCCACATGCAGGATTTGTTCCACTCTGGGCAGATGAAGCAAACCCTAAGTACTGGCAGCCACCTTGTTCTGCAAGACAGGCTTCGAACAAGTCATGGAAAACTCTATGCCCAGCAAGCTATCAAAACCAAGGATAAATACAACCAGGATAACTATTAACCCAGGCAGTGATACTGACTAGGGGTACCCAACAAAATCAGATGAGCCAGAAACTCATCAGCAAGAACCTAGAAGGAAGACAGCCAAGGAGAACCAAAGAGGGCCTCCAGCCTTGGGGGTCAGGAAAGTTGTGTGCATACACAAGGCCGCTCCTTCTCAGGAGACATTGGGGAAACTTTCAAGCTCGCTCTGGCAGACCATGAAGTAAACATGAAACTGCCTAAAATTTCACACAATCCTCAAACTACAGATTCAAAGGAAGATGTTGGAACAGTTATACTGGCTTAGGATGGTCAGGAACAACTTCTACTCATTGACTGACTATTAAGATACAACGATGCACTGGTAGAAAGTCAGACATTCAAGCATTTGAAAAGAAGGTAAGGGGAGGGCAGGGTTGAGCAATGACATCACAGGCAACTCTAGAAGAAGAAATATATAGCAGAATCAGTCTAAGCAAGTCACTAAACAGATTAACAACAAAAGCGACAACAGCAAGGCTGGGGAGATGGGGAGAGGACAGAACCTATGACTGTATTACCTAACATGTCTAGATGTACTAAAATTTTATTAAGTACCTGAAAGAACAGTGAAGTGCAACCTGTATGTGAACTCAGTAAACAGAACTTTGAAATCCCTTTTAAAAATATATTCCAATGGGGGTCGGCGTTATGGTGTAATGAGTTACGCTGCCATCAGCAACACCAGCATCTCATATGGTTCCAGTCCGAGCCTCCTGTTACTGCATCGTGGAAAACAGCAGGAGGTGGCCCAAATCCTTGGACCCCTAGCACACAGGCAAAACCTGGATGAAGCTCCTGCCCTCAGCCTGTCCCAGCCACAGCCACAGTCACCCTCTGGAAAGTAAATCAGCTGATTTACTTTCAAAGATCTTTCTCTGTTTCTCTCTTCCTCTCTCTAGTAACTGCCTTGCAAATGAATAAATTTACATATGTAAAACCCAAGAACAAAGGAAGAAATCTTTAAGAATTAGAAAAAACTGTAGATGGTCTTTCAAAAATAAATTAGTCATTCTTGCTTGTGTAAAGCGGTTATCTTATTGTAGTTTAGAATTGTATTTGCCTAGCAGATGGTGAACATATTTCTGGGTGCTGATTGGCCATTTGTATAAATGGTGAAATGTCTATTCAGATCTTTTGCCCATTTTTTAAAGTTCTGTTAATCACCATCGTATTGGTTTGCAAGCATTTACTATGCATTCTAGACAAAATTCTTTATCATGCATGTAATCTCAAATACTTTTTTTAAACTTTCATTTATTTATGAAGGCAGAGAGAGACAAAAACAGATCTTTCCATGCAGTTGCTCACTCCCCAATAGTCTGCAAGAGTCAAGACTGTGGCTGTGCCCAACATCTACTTCAGGTCAAAAACTTAAGCCATCATATCATCACCTGCTGCCTCCTAGAATGCCCATTTCCCAAACTGGACTCAGAAGCAAGGCCAGGACTCAAACCTGGTACTCTCATCTCCAATGAGGTCAATGTAAGCAGCATCTTAACCATTTATAATCAGCTGAGTTTCTGCAGAAATAAATAGGAAAGATTTTTCTCTCAGTGAATAACCATACTGCTTCTGCCCCACCCTCCAAATTGCATCCAAGGGACAGGGTTTGGCACAGTGGATTAAAATGCCATTTGTCTCAATCAATACCATGTCAATTAATGCCATAAGGTTGTAAATGGTTGTTGATGTTATGTCCGGGCTTTTAATTGATTGGAATGATACTTTCTGGCTTTACCTTCAGACCAGAGATGGTCTCACCAAGAAATCGTTGAACCCACTAGGATAATAAGACGCTGGACTTTATGCTTGGTAAATATTTCCAATGAAAGAACCTCAACTGAATTTGAACTGTGGTAACGCAGCAAGGTGGAGAAATCCACCATGGGGAGAGGGTTCTGGGAGGGGTGGGGGAATCCCAGTGCCCATAACACTGTGTCACATAATGCAATGTAATTAATAATAAAAAAAAGTAAAAAAAAAAAAAATGCCACTTGTCATCTGGCATCTTTACCAGAGTGCTGGTTTGAGTCCCAGCTACTCTCCTGGGAAGACTGCAGCAGATGGCCCAAGTACTTGAGCTTCTGCCAAACATGTGGAAGACCAAGACAGAGTTTCTGACTTCTGGCTTCAGCTTGGTTCAGCACTGACTGTTGTGGACACTCGCAAAAATGAACCAATAAGAGAGTTCTCTTATTCCTGTGCTCCAACCACCCCCAACCCCTACACACACAACTCCTTCAAATCCATCAACAAACATTTTTTAAAACCTTTCCAACCATACCACTACAACAATCTATAATAAACAATTAACTCAAAATGAATTATATACATAAATTTAAACATCTAGAAGAAAATCGTTGTGACTCTTGGTTAAATAAAGACTCTTGAACAACAGTGACACACAGTGAGAAGGTGATCTTGCAGCCACTGGTTCAGTTCCCAAACAGCCACAACAATGGGTGCTGGGCCAGTGGAAGCCAAGAACCTGGATCTCCACCTGCTCCTCCCATGTAGGTGGCATGGACCAAGTTCACAGGACATCTTCCTTTGCTCTGCCAGGAGCATGGGCAGAGGGCTAGACTGGAAGCAGGGCAGCTGGATCTCGAACTGATATCAGCTATAGAATGGCAGCCTCAAAGGCAGCAACTTAATCTACCTGCCATAATATCTGCCCCCAAGTAAAGATTTCTTAGATATAACAATTAATATAGAAGGAAAAAAACTATATCAAAATTTAAAGTCCATTAAGAAAGTGAAATAACAAGCAATAAATGGGGTCA